TTAGCTGTCACTGTGCGTTAACGACGAAGCTACTGATTCACAAGAATTGATATAGATTGTTGAGCAGAGTGAAAGGTATTTATGACAAACTTAAACCCTTCTACATTGTACTTCATAGACTTTGATTGCCAAACTAATATCTTTAAATTATTTGTCACGAGCTTGTACAAGTCGACTGATTTCTTTGCACCCGCCTTTTGTTGTTTAGATAACGTTTCAGATATTCGGTAATGTCCACTAGGTGATAGTCTAGCCACTCGACTGCGCTAATTCTAGTCAGTTTCTTCGCTGTTCATGGATTTGTTAATCTTATAATTTGGGTGAGTGCGTTCGGCTCACGGCAGCAGGGTTTCCGGATATCAGCAGCTATCGCATTATTAGGTAGGAGGTTGGCTGATTGCAATGAGGGAATTATGAAGTGATAATTCAAGTACTAAGAGAAAATGACTGCTTCAAAAATAAACAGTAATCTAATTAATTTATAGTGTTTAAAAAGACGAAATTAAAATAATAAGAGGAGATCGGTGATGTCAATTAGAGATGTGGGAAGTAGCTACTGATATGCGGATATGATAGCCGCAGTAATTTATCAGAGATGTATCAAGTTCGGCTGACTCAGGACCGAGGTGATAATCAATTAGCGAGCTATCTGTTAAGTGGGCCGTGATTATCTAGGCTGGGAGAGCATACCAATTATGGGCAACTTTTGATGGGAAAACGTGTAAATGTATCTGGTTTTCTGTCGTTTATTGTGCAATTTTTGAGGCGTTGCTTCAAGAAGCGTGGCAACAATGGCACTACCTTATACTCGCGCTGGGATGGTTCAGCGTATTTATTATGTATGCCATTATCCAATCATCTCTTATTCTCCGATAGTTTAAAAAATAATCCCGAGTGTTAGAGTCTGTCATCGTGAAATTTGTGTTTGGAACCTATCATCCACATGCTTGTATGTCTTTGTACTTAGTCCGTAAGATTTCTATCTCTTCTGAGGAGAGGAAGAGTCACGACGCCGTAGACTTCAAGGTTAGGGCAAGCGCATGTTTTAATCAGTGTTTGGAATAACTCTGGGTTGAGTGGACGGAGTCGCACTCACATAAGATAGAGAGTCGCGTTTGTTTTATCTTATCCTCCATGTAGGTTGAGCTGGTTTCTAAGCTGACAGTGGTTACAAACCCGAGATCACGTCCTGTGAAGACAGTTAGAAGCTGATTTTCATGAAATGCAAGTGCTTTGAGTCAGTTATGATTTCTCTAGTTAGGACCCAACTATTTCTATTACTTAGTATTCTTAGACACTACCACGTCCTACAAGTCACCAAACCAGAACATGTTTGGACAGGAACAGAACTATATTCCAAATAAAAAGAGTGAATGAAAGGAATAACAATAAGAGAACGTTTGTGTACTTATAAATTTTACATAACAAGATTTTAGAGTCTTCTACATGTACCGACAATCCTTCACGGAAGATGTTTCATTTCAATCTATACCCCAACAACAGCGCCAAATGAAGTGGAAAGTTCATGATATAACATTTCGAATACTTAAGTCTCAGGCCTCGTTGTAAGGTCCTTGTGAAGCTCAAACGAATGTTTTTGCTTTTTGTGAACCTTCAGATCGGTGTCGCCAAGCTAACTTCATTTAACGAGTCTTTAATATAATTAGAAAAAAGAGTGGACCTAGGGGTACTCCCTGTGAATCAATTGATGTTGAGGCCTCCGCACTTGAGTGCACGCAACTTACCTTGGTACGAAACATCCTCCCGTCTAGATAGTTTTGGAGTCAAGGCAGAAGTGGATCACTGAAACATGCCTTTGTAACCTTTGCAATGATAAGTTCATGAGATACCGTGTCAAAGGTTTCTACGAAATCGAGGAATATGACATGAATCGGTATCTTATGGTCTGAACAAGTCGTTCAGCTTTCCCACGCTACGAGTAGATTTGACGTGCAGGACCTGTCGCTCCTGAATCTGTGTTGGGCTTTTTGTATTCTCCCAGTTGTTCGTTGACCGGTCCTTCCACTACCTTGTGAATGTCGTAACTGGTCTGTAAGAGACCTGGTTCTCCCTTTCACCTCCATCGAATACCGAACGGGGTGGTGTTCTTTCAATGTCTTAAGAGTTGGTGTGAATCTAGTGAGTTCGTGGGCAGATCGCACACTGACATGTTGATGATTTCCACACGCCACTTATAGATCATACGCCGGATGTCGCCACATTCTGATAACTCTCCAGAGTTCAGGAATTCTAATCTCTTTAATACCAACGAAGACGTTGATTTCTCAGACTCTCAACCGGCACCATAGTTGAGAGACGTTCCGTGCTCGCAGACTACTGGTTTAGTCGACCCATGAAGTTGAAAATGAAGGTCTCTACCATTTCTAAGCCAGTGAGATGTTCTATATTTGACCCTTAAAAGATAACGATTTCATGGTTTGTTGGCTTTTTTGTTCATAATACCGTAGAGACATTTGCGGTTGCCTTGCATTCCGGCTGCTGGCTTGGCCTGAAAACATTACCAGTCCTTGAGAACCATGGTGCTGTATCTGTTTCAACGTTTAGTAAGAGCTGTATTCAGAAGACTCCAAGAAATATTCCCTTCATGCCAGGCTCTCCTTTTGGCCTTTAACGAGCGTTCCATGACCCACCTTGCCCAGGATCTTCGCTTTCTGGGTGTTCGAAAAATTTATATGAGATTAAGCGTTTACAACTACATTGTCTGTCTCAAAAACATTTTGCGTATCTAAAGTACATTGCAAGATATAGTCAAGTTGTTGAGACTTAATAAGAGTTAAGGGAAAAGTTAAGAGGTTTATGGTCAGTGAACAGAGAGAATTCTCGATTCTCCACAAAGTACTGAAAGTGCCGTACAGCACAATGCAGATCTGAGAGTTCAGTATCGACGACGTTGCACCTCAGTTCGATTCTTTGCAACCGGCTCGAAAAGCATGCCAAAAGTTTCTAAGTTTTCTATATCCACTGTTACAAGAAGCTTCTGACTGCTAAGCCGGATGAGTCTATGGCGATACTAGTAGCTGTTGTGATGTCCTGGTGTATGAGCATAGTTGGCTTGACAAAAATTCCTTGATTTCTCGCTGCCATGCAAGTTGATAACTTTCGCATGTTCACAAAGCTGGTTAATTAAAGATCTTATGGGAGACGTGCAATTAGGTATGAACTGTCGATTAAAGCTTAACAGTCCGTCAAACGTGCGCAGTTGTTTGGCTGTGGTCCGTTTTGGGCAGTCTAGAATGCCCGCCACTCTAGCTGAAGACGAGTACTTTAAACGTCTGTAGTATGCCCGAGAAAATTAAAAATGTCGGTTCCAATTCAACATTTTTGAATGTTTACAATAATACCACAATTTTGGAGTAGTCGTAAAACAAGGTCCAGATGCTAGAGATGGTATTCTCTGTCCGGACCCGTAATTAAGTGGTCATCAACATACTCGGCACGAATTCCAGACCTCTGAATATGTCATCGATGAATCTTCAGAAAATTTGATTGGCATATCTCAAACTGAGAGACATCGTCAAAGGAAGTTATCATGGGAGTTTTAGGAATGTCTTGTGCAGCCATATGAGTTTGGTTATGCGCTTTAACCAAGATGGATTTTGAGAATACAGTCATATCCTTCGAGGTATCTGGGAGGGTGTGGATGTGTGGTAGTGATGATGTGTGATTTTTGTAGTGAGTCGTCAATAATCATATTTGGATGCCAATTACTGCTCTTCTTTCTAGGGGACACATGCAAAGGAGACGCTCACAGGTTGTTCGATAGCCTGATAATTCCTTGGTTTGTCGTAAGATCAAATTCGTTTTGGGCCAGTCTTGGGTTTTTGAGAGAGAAACGGGCCACAGGTGGGTCTTTAGTCGTGATATGACGTGCAATATTGCTGCTTACACATGGTAGTTCTGGTCTTGTTTTGTATAGTTTAAAGTACTTTTCGGGTAGTGTTTATAAGTATGGACTGATCACATATTTAATCGTAACTGGGTCTAACCTACAACTAGAGGATGAGACTTCATAAACACATGACTTAGTAAATCTGTCAACTAGCCCCTGTCAACTTCTACATGGTAGAACCAGGCAACTACATTATCAGGCCAGGATGGCATCATTTAAAAGGTGGGGGAAAGCAAGGGCTTTGATCTTTAATGGTTTGAGTATCTTTCGTCATAATGAGGATTAAATATACAAATAAGCAAAATATTTGAGGATACAAATGTGTCACGATACCTAAAAAATGATATATATATATAATGTTACAACCAGGAACAGTCTTACAATTTATCATTTGATGCGCCAGATCACGTCGAGTTCGTCACTAAAGATACCATAGATATTCAGGTTTGACAACCCTTTGTCCAGAATGCCTTTACAATCGAACGGTACCGATCCAGTTAAGTCAGGGACGAACGCGTTTAAAGAAATATTTGGAAGAAAGTCGACACTTCCAAAAGTATGTAATCCAAGTTGGTTTTTGGTGTGAGGGATGTGAAGCATGGCGTACCTAACGATGATCTGGATTAGATGAGTAACCGGGAGCTTTCAGTTATTGTGCGTCCAGCAAAACTGATGAGGTCAGCATCAATGTTGAAAACTTACAGCACCGTTTATTTTGGGGGGTCATTTGGCACTGCACATGCTATTTTGCACCGTAGCGGTTCGTATCTAGCCAATAGGTACTTTGCGTAGTAGGGGAAAACGCAGAGTAGCGTGAATGAGGTAAACAAGAAACGTGAACAAACGAAAAAGTGAGCCGATAACACAATGCACCTACATTTATTAATGAAAGCAACAAATACTCAGTAGTAACACAAGCTTCCCATGAAGTTAATCTTGAAAGTAAAACTAGAAGCAAATAGTTTAATCCGCTACAGCACTGTGCTTTTAATTTCGGGCGAATATGAACGGGGTGCAATCCTAGTTCTGATTGGTTCACTCAAGGCCGTCCTGGCGGTACTTTTACCATACTCTCTTAGCATACAATTGTATGTTCTCAGAGTTTAGAGTCAGTACTTCTGTTCATTTCTAGGTTTTCTAAATAATCGCTCTGATAGATCAACAGTAACGGCATCGGTTGTATTTGTATGACTAAACATAAGGAGAGTCGTCAAAGTACTTCGTTGTTTCGTCTTCTGAACTTTGAACTTTTCGTCAAACCAGTAATATGAATCTTAATGTTTACTTGTCTAGAATAAGGTCGTAATATCTTTTGGGTTATCTGCAATAACTGGGTGTGTCGCATATCTGGCCTACCTTAATTTGACTCATCAGCATCCTCAGGATCTTGCAGCAAGTAGCAACATCAGTAATAACCATAAGTCTAACTGGGACTGATCTTAGAGATGCCACTCTACAACACAGTGTTGTATATTCCTCCCATTGAACCCCCAAGAATCACTGATTTCGACTCCAGCGCTTCTCACATTAACGACGATAGAATTAAAATTGCTGAAGTAGAAGCTTGTTTTGGAGAGTTTGAGGCACAACTTTCTAAGGTAAATTTTTCATTCCTGTAACTCATTTTGTATTAGTCCATGGATATTCCTCTAGCGCTCCTCGTTTTTCGTTCAAAGAATAATAAATAATCTGCTCTTAATAGTTTAGTAGTCATATTACGAAACTGTGCAGGTGTGTACATGGTTACATTGTAGAATCTTATGTAAATTAACTACTTTGCCGTTCTAATCACGTCATTAGGCTTTTGTAACAAGCATATGATGAGCACATCTTTCTTGTAAATATGAGAAAAACCACAACCGGGATAACTATACTAATTTGTTCATCAACGTGGAAAAGGCTATTAAATGGAATATCAATTATCCTATAAAAAATACCTTAAAAAAGTTTTGTTAGATCTTCGAAATGGCCAATGCTCCTTAAACCACTTGTCACTAGTCGTAAAATTATTGTTTCGTCCCATCCTTTAAAAAATATTGCTGCTCTCTTCACATTAATATTGTAGTTAACTATCGAGTAAGGTTACTAATTCTACTTCTCTTACTGTTTACTGTTTTAAGTTACCGAGTTTTCGAGAGCCATTAGGACGTAGATTCCAGGATAAATTGTTCTATGTAACATACACTCTAGAATTCAAACAGATAAATGGTTCTGCTGATCAAAAATATTTGCATAACAAATGTCGAATTCCAGTGTGATAGGTAAATCAATCACTTCTGTAACTAGCACATAGACTTGTATACTCATGCATGGGTGTACAGTAAGCTTTTCCTTGGAGTTACTGTTAGTGGTGGTCATCAAAGAAATATTCGTCCCTCTCTTTAATTACTTGCATTCCTATTACACCGATCGGTTATAATTTAGGATCCGTTAAAAATATTATTTCATCAAATTAAAAGTACAAAGACACTACTGACTAAGTTCCAACTAGGGACCTCAATATTTTTGATAGTCTCTTCTAACTCGTAACAAGTGAAATTATCCTAAAAGACTAGTATTCCGCTAAAAAGTTAAATTAAAACATGAGAATATTAGCCTGAGTCCTTCAAAATCTGTAGGCTCTTTTTGTACACCGTTGCCTTACATCACCAAAAGGTAACTATAGTTTTTGCCCCCAAATGCCCTGGTACGACCGAAAGTGCGGAGAGTCCGCTCTCACATAGCCACGCGTATATAGCCTCTGCCATGGAAGTCCTACTCACTGCCTTCTCGTGGCGGGGGTGTTGTTTACGAAAATGAGAGGATGAAAAGCGAATGTCCGGCGCTTTAACCGGGTTGGTAGATGTGGCGGACCTACCTAAGGGAGTTGGAAAACCCTGATTCCAAACCAATGGTGCACATGGTCTCCAGTATCCTGAATGAAGAAATGGCGTATGAACCTTGTACCAAAATCTATGTGTTAGAACAAATAAATAAAATGTGGTTTAGGATCATAAAACTTGAAATTGGTTCGTGATATAGATGTTGAAAATTATCATTCTTCATGTTCTAGATATATTTCTATAATTCTTAGTCTCTATCTATACTTTCGTTGCCTTCTACTTCTTTCGGCTCTTTTAATAAGTTCCTGTTACATTACATTAATGTGAAAATTTAAACCTACAGTTGCACGACGTTCGCGTTCCCAGCTACCTCTACCACATTTCCTACAAACATACGTAGTCTAGTTGAATGCTTTATGAAAAGGGAGACTTATTGTTAACTTATTTATTTGAACACATAAATATTAGTACAAGGAGGCACCAGACACATATGCGCCACACATTTGTGAATTAGTTGCCATCTCATCAAATTTGTGTGAGGGCTGTGATATTGCTCGGGTGCCCAAACCGAAGCAGGTGTCCGCCAACCCGGTAAAGGCGCCGGAAATTCGCTTTTCGTCTTAATTTCGTGGACAACACCCGCACCGCGAGATGGCAGTGAGTAGGAATTCCCTGGCAGAGACTATATACGTGTGGCCATGTGAGAGCATTTCGAGGGCGAAAGCGGCTCTCTCCACTCTTAGCCGTATCAGGGCATTTGGGGGCTTATTGACTAGATGCCAGTCCGCTGAAGTTATTTTTGGCTGGCAACTGGAATATTCGATGTTTTCTACTTAAGGAAAATTAGGAATTTTTACTAATTCATCTACCAGGTGCGCATTCATATACCTGACTTCGGACAACACCTTAAGCACAAGGGCTAGTGATGTTACTCAGTTACCCATACTAAAATAGGTGGCTTGGTGGATGAAGATCGAATTCCTTAACCACTGAAGTACTGGGTTTAATCGTGACTTGTAACTACTTCATTTGATTAATTTTGTTCGTCTTATCAACTAATGTACATTCTTTATATACTAGCTTTACACTTAACATCGTCATTGTATACTTACAATGCTTCAAAGAATTGCTTAATAAATAATCGGTTTTATAATGGTATAACTTGTTTTTCGGCCACTACTATATTGCACTAAAAAATCACTGAACGAAATATCCATCAGTTGACATTTTTTGCAACTATATTTATGCTTCTCAAGATGTTTCATTGTCTGTTTTACTGACTACATTTAACTAGCAAAACCCACTATAGTTTAATTCATGAGTCTATCTGAGTTGGAACACCGTTGAAAACTTGGGAGTACTGGACGGCCGTTTCGCCCCTCAGTGAGCATTCATGACCCCTCACGTGGAACTTGAACCTAGGACCTTCAGTTTCACGCGCAAACGTTTAGTCTCTAGACCACTGAGATCGCATCTAACAGCGTTAATGCCTAAATTCAATCGATCCATGATCTTGCGCAACTCTCCATCCATTGTCTGAGGTAGATAACGATCTCCACCCAACACGGAGTGGACTCCACTGGTCACAACTTCTCACTAGAACTTTAGGAAATCCATCTTGATTTTATTTATTTTAACACATAGATATTGGTACAAGGTGGCACCAAATACATATGCGCCACACAAATCTCATTCGATGTGTGAGGGCTGTGATACTGCCCGGGTGCCCAAACCGAAGCAGGTGGTTTTCTTAGGGGGCCACTCCCCAAGCCTTCCATCTGAAGGTCTGATCCACAAGGCAGTGGAGCATCGTGAGGAGATGCAGTCCCATGGAAGCCGGTGACCAACAATAGGTTCATACGTCACTTGTTCCTTCAGGATACTGGAGCCCATGTGCACCATTGGTTTGGAATCCGGTTAAAGAGCCGGACATTCGCTTTTCGTCCTCTCATTTTTGTAAACAACACCCCCGCCACGAGAAGGCAGTGAGTAGGACTTCCCTGGCAGAGGCTATATACGCATGGCCATGTGAGAGCATTTCGAGAGGGAGAGCAGACTCTCCCCACTCTCGGCCGTACCAGAGCATAAGATTACTATCAGAGTGGTGATGTAAATTGAACCGACTCATGAATTCAACTATTAAAAGTGCTACAATCTTCACAAATCCCCACTTCGATAAAACTCACTATTTTGAGGACCACGTTCAGGTGACCTTGCAACTGTTGTTATTACTCGAATAACCAATTTAAAGTATTTTACTTCTTTGCTTTATGCTTGTTCCTCCTTCGAGAGTTTTTTATTCATCTCTTAACAATCCGGTTTCTACGTACTATGATTACACTTGACTGATTCTTTATTTCTCATCAAATTAATTCTTATGTCATTTTCATAACAATTATTCAAAGTAGGTTTTTGTACTTTTTTATCTTTAGTTTTGCCATTGTAGTCAATCGAATGATGTTCATACTCAATGTTGTGTTCCTGGAGCTGGAAATTTTACACATCCAGTGAATGAAAGATACCTACGTCGTACTGTAGATGAACAATTAAGAGATCTTACACTTGAAGGTGAACGTAATCGAACACGTGTTGATCGCGATCCTCAGAATAGTAATTTTGATCGAAACTCAATTTCCATCTTACATCGACGTGGAAGATTTGACTCACACAGAGCTCAGGATTCTGTTACACAATCCTCAAGTGAGCTACCTCAAAATTTTAACGAATCCATGACTGCAGGCGGAATAGCTGAGGCAGAAAGCAGTGATAATTTTCTTGTGGATGAAGAAGAAGCCGAGGCTACAGTTGCAACAGAAGAAGAACTTGATGCCACGGAATAAACCTTCTCGATCTTTATTATTTAGAATTATTAAGTGTTATTATTTCCATTTTGGGAAATCCACCAACTGATGCTCATGTCAGAGATGTAAATATATATGTAGTAACTTGTTATTATGTTATTGCTTCATCTTCCAATCTGTAGGTCTTCAGACCAACTGAACCTCATAGTTTGAACTTTTTCGTAAGTTATTACAAATTCAATGTCTCCTTCTTTTTCATAATAGACTTAAGTAAAACATAGCATGTATTTCTTTGTGTTTCAGTTAACTCACAGTTATTGTATGTCACAACAAATAGGAATTCATAGGTGTTCAAATATTCCTTGGAGAAACAATTTTTTAATATGTGACCATTAACGACTTCTTTTCCGATGACCAGTTGCATGACTGTTCACCTCAAATAGGAATGTAAAGAAACATTACATCTAACACTCTTGATAGAGTAAACAATCGATTTAATTTTGTCACTAGTTAACAAATAGGCAACTTATAGTTTACTTTTTAATTATTTGTCGTGAAGTGTTTATTTCATGAATAATCCATTAGACATACTTTTCAGGATTGTAAGAGGTTCTAGGAATTACAAGGTTATATTATAACTTTATATAAAGAACTTAATGCAGTTGATAATGTTGAAGGAATATTGGTTGCTTTGTGACAATCATTTTTATCGTTGGTTAGTTATTTGTGATTTGTTAAGTAACTCTTGATCGTAATATACCAGTTAGGTATTTTTTTGTATGGTAAGCCTTGATTCCGTTATATATATAGTCAGTTAGACACCTTTTCATTCCTTAAAATCTGTTCTGTTCATGACTTGAGGATTTGTCTCATGAACAAATTATCAATCGGGTCACTCATCCTAGTATTTTATCAAATCAATTTTTCTAACTATTGAGACAATATTGTAGCGTTATGTACACCGTGTCTTTGTAAATACTCTAATTATATATGTTAATATAGTAATTCGATTGTTCAGAAATTGATTTCTGTTGTAAATTGTATTTAATGTGCATGAACTTATTGTTTGTCAATTGTTTGTTTATAATATGATGAAACATCTGAATCTTGGAATCAGCTCATTAAGATATTGAATTTTGATCTGATAGATGTTAACAGACGCAGACTACCTGGCCAGGTTTCTTGTGATGACCAAAATTAGTAGTTGGAGATGTTGAATGACATGGCCTGGTATCAGTTGGATTGGTTCAGATACATCCACCTTTTATCTTCTCTTAGATTTTCTATTTCGCTATGCTTTCATAATTACACTTTCATTGTTTACTGACTGTAGCTGCTACCTTAATCTGCTGATCCGGTTTGCGTATATCAATGGCCTGGTCGGAATATATTGGTTGAGATTTTCCTTCTCGTGGGTCCTACTGTACCAGATAGGCTGTTTGGAGAGCCGTAATACTAAAATCAGCAAATTCATGGTATGTGACGTCACTGAAGTGTTTCCCTAAGATAACTGGCATCTGCAGCAACGTAGCCTTCCAATATGGAAGGAGAGGGTTCAGAAAGGTTACAGTTCACCTTATCCCACGGATTTCCGTCTCCTGGGGCAAGCCCTTAAAAGTATGGAGCTAACTCATCTGAAACTATCTAGGTAGTTATCTTTTGGGATCTAGGACCACTCTGCTAGGCCATTCTTTCTTGCGAACTGTGACGATCATCAATCAAGGTCAGCCAGATGGGATTACGTTCAGTTCCCGAATTCTAGCTAGTATCCCAGTCGGTGTCGCAGCTAAAACTGGGCCACCATCCCTAAACACTTCTGGAGCTAATCCATCAGAGCCTACTTCTCTTCTTCACTTTAGGTTACCCATAGCCTCATCAACATCATTAAGATTTGGTCGACTTGCTTCAATTTCCCATCCAAGTTGGTTGCGGATAGACAGTAACTGACCGTAGCTGCTACCTTGACGTGGTGTTCGGGTTTGTCTATCATGATGATTCAACCGAGCTATGTTGGCTGGAACATATGTTCCTGTAGGTTTTACCATGCCAGGCAGGTCGATTGGAGAACGGTAAGACTAAAGGCAGCAACTCAAGGTTTGAGGGCGAAGTCGTACTGCTGACTGTGGAGGGGTGTGACAACAGAAAGGAGTTTCCCTTCGGACAACCAGCATCTGCAGTGATGCTGCCTTCTCACAAGGAAGGAAGGGGTTAGAAAAGGTCGACCCTAAAAATGTCACACATCACCTTACCTCACGGCTTTCCGTCTCCGGCAGTACGGCCTTTTGAAAGACGGAGCTAACACGTTAAAAACTCCTCACAAAAAGGCCGTGCGTGTACTAGTAGTTGTCCCTTGGGCTCGGCGGACACGCTCTCAGGTCGTTGAGACCAACACTAACCTAACTTCCTTTTCATGTCCCTCAAGAAATACCCTTCCACGGTGTGGGCACCCGGGAAGTGACACCAGCCCTCATATCCGTAACAGCACATGAGACCAAGTTGGTCACAATCAAATCCTTCCTACACCCCCTAATAATTCTTATCTCTACTGCTAACCCTTCTCACGTCTATTTCTCACCTCGTACCGCTAGGGCAAACGATTCGAGTACGTGGAACGTTATTTCTGGTCTCCTGAAACCACGCTCTAAACTACATGTAGGAGCTTTTAACGTAAGAACACTGTGCCAAACAAAACAACAGGCTTTCTTAGCTATGACTTTAGAATCTCGCGCCATCGATGTGTGTTGCGTCTCCGAAACGCGCATACAGGATCCGAGTAGTGTCATTCATTTGACCTCACCATGCCAAAATAAAGAACCAACTCGATTCACACTTCGTGTATCTAGAAGCCCTGATACTGCTTCCCGTGGCCTCTCTGGTGTAAGTATAGCATTGAGTCCTAGGGCAGAACTAGCTCTTAGACTGGATCCCAGTAGACAGTCGTTTGTGCGCTGTCCGACTGAACGGAACAGTAAGAAATCGGAAAGGTAGGGACACTCGTCGTTACCTCTTCTTCGTCTCTGCCTACTCTCCCACTGACTGCAGCTCAGATGAACTAAAAGATGAGTTTTGTAAAAAGCTTTCTGACCTCCAAAAAGCTATGCGCTCTGATGTAGTAATAGCGGCTGGTGACTTTAACGCTCAAGTAGGTAAACTAAGCGACAAGGAAAGACACCTGGATGGATCTTATGGTGTCGTGGCTCAAAGAATAGATAATAGTGACCGTCTGTTTCTAGCATATGCTAACTTTAAGCATAAGGAAAAACATCTTTTGACATGGCGACCCCGAATTCGTCCCAACATTGGACCCAACTAGATCACATCGCTATCAGCCACTGATTGAGGGGCTCGATAGAAGACTGTCGCTCGTTCCGGAGCACGTGCTTAGATGCAGATCATGCTCTAGTGCGAGCGCGTATTCGTCTGCGTCTTACTGGACGTAGGAAAGACACTGTACGGAAACCTCTTAGGGTTATACTTAATGATAGCCAGGCTAAGAATATATTTGACGAACAACTAGAAAAACAGTTAGGCAGCCATTTAAGTGATGCCCACCCCAAGGCGGATTGGGATGATATCCGAAAAGCCGTGAAAACAGTGGTGATATCTGTTAGTACGGTAAACCACAAGGTTAGGGAGAAACACTGGATCTCAGCAGCATCTACCGCACTGATAGATGCTCGGAAACTCATTCCACCTGGCTCTGAACATAATGAAGAGCGAAGTCAGCTTAAGCTCAGGTTGATAAGAAGCCTACTCAATGATCGCGAACGTTGGTGGATAGCGAAAGCAAGGGAGATGGAAAAGGCAGCGGCAATAGTTAACAGCAGACAACTGTTCAGACTTATCAAGGAAACCGGTATTGAGAATCCAACCTCTTGTCTCGATAGGCAACATTTACTGGTGGAAAGGTACGTTAGAAGAAAGCTAAGGGTACCCAATCTAAACGTAATATCAATGTATGAAGCCACTGGCTATTGGTCTGAGTCATGTTGATTAATCCAAACCACCTGGTTGGAGTCCTCGAGATAACTTTCATTAGTGACTGGAGACCATAGGTAACATTGCTCAGAATCTTTCACAATGGCACGGATACATTCACTCTCTCTTGATAGTCAGTCTCAGTATCTCTTCAAATGTACGTTTCCGCTCTGTCTCTTCGATCCCTGTTTCTAATGCATGGGTGTTTTCATTATCATTGCTGGTGCGGTGTTCCACTCATTTGAGGTTGGTGAAGCTTCACTCGGTAAAGCCCATGGGCTTATCTGTATCAAGTTCCGCCTCCCAAGGCTCGCGAACCTACCTCGTAGACCCGATTTCGTGTGGAAGTCGTCGGAAGCCCCGGTTCTCGGCACCCGGGCGTCTCACCAGCAGCAAGTATAGTCTACATGCACACAAATTACACACACATTTCCATGCATCCCATAGGTATATTCACTCACCTGGTAGTGTAGATTATCACCACTCCGTTTAAGCGTATTTGCCACATTGACTATCTCGTACGCATTATATACATACTGCTGGTACAAAAACTTCCACGCATTTCATGGCACACACATAAAAAAGCACTCGGGGAGGGTTGATGGTCACCTCCCATTATTGTTTGCTATCACATCTTTTTATTATGTATTCGACCTGAAGGATTGGGCCATAAATTTTACTAGATATAGGGCAGACATTTCAGATTATGTTTCTTGTGTTAACCCACGCGCGTACCCTTTGCATATGCCTAAGTTCATAAACTACACAAGCCGAGACTCATGCAATTCATATACATAGGCGTACATATTGGACAGCTCGTCACGATTTTCGAAGTCTCGAAGAGTGAAGTCTGAGAAACCCAAATACAGCATCAGAGCGTTGGTTCTGTCTAATCTCCACCGACCTTTTAGGTTAGCTACCAAGGCCGCCCTCACTACCCAGCATCTCCACATGAAGGGTTTGGGGCTGGTATATGTTCTGACTCCTTTTACTCCTCCGTTTGTTAATTTCATCTCGTCGTGCTAATGTGGTATGGTGACGGGCTAACGGACATTTCTTTCAGACTCTACGCTGATTATAACTGACTGAATATAATGAAACTTATCTACTAAATATAGGTTTATGTATACGGTTTTGAGCGACATATTACATATGAATGCTAATGATAGTAATTAGCTGCCAACTTCGAAATAGATGAAGAGGTGCTTGATACTACAAACCAATGATTGAACGGTAATTACTT